AAAAAATAAAATAAATAAATAAATAAATAAATGTATGTTAAACAAATTTTTAAAAATAAAATAAAAAATACATACCCTTAAAAAAATAAAAAACAGGTAGGGACTTCAGACTATGTTATTTCTTTCCCCCACCCCAGGGGAGTCAGTCCCCTTGATGGAATCAAGCATTGAGCAGAGTTAGGGCACAGCTACAGTTCTGGTAAAACTCAATCCTCCTCTGGGCTGTCCCTGTCCCTTAGGAGTTGTCCTCTTGGATCTGGCGTTGAAAGCCTGGCCAGCCTGTATCTCTCTAGTCCCTTGAATTCTCTTCAGAGATTTTGAGGTTAGCTCTTCAGCCTTCCAAACCACCCAGGCTCACAATCTGGCCAGTCTTGAGCGGGGAGGCGGTTAATATTTCAGCCCCCCCCCCTCCCTCTAAGCACCGCGAGACCGTGGGGCCTGCCTTTCCAGCCCCCCAGGCCCCTCTCAGCTGCCCGAAGTGCTCCAGACCTCAGCAAACGTTCCGTGGGGGAAAACCGACTTTGCATTCCAGGCTCTTCCAGCGCCCAACCCAGGGCACAGTCCTTACAAGTACCAGAAACGGTTCATTCCTCTTTCCCCAGTAGAGTCTCCCTGTTCAGGGCAATGCTGATCCTCAGAGAGGCCCCACATCAACGAGGCCCTCGGAGAAGAAAGCGACCGCCATCATCAGTTCCCCTTGGAGGGGCTCTTTCGTCCTTGATATTTTGCTCATGTGGTTCTTACTCCCTCCACCACGCCTCGGTCTCCCACAGGTGATGATTCTCATCTCACTTCCTTCTAGCTGTTGCAACGGGAACAGCGGCCTGCGGAGACCTACCACATCCTACCCAGGAGCAGAAATGCCTCGGTTCTGCTTTCTACCGCTTCCCATGGATAGAGTTTGACTTCTTAGTATTTTTCGTAATCACATCCTCCCTTGATTTCCTCTGGTTTACACAAGTTACCGTGCTTTTCTCACCTTTGAAAACCGAGGTCAACGCCTTTCTCACTTTCTGGAGGGTTGGCCGTTTTACCTCAAAGTTCTTGTTGCTTTGTTCTTTGGTGCTAGAGATCTTTCCTGGTTACTGTTTTTCAGTTTGTACTTTTTTGTTTTTTTTTTTTTTTAATTATTATTAAAAAAAATTCTTTTAATGTTTATTTTTGAGAGAGACAGAGACCGAGTGTGAGCAGGAGAGGGGCAGAGAGAGAGGGAGACACAGAGTGAATCAGGCTCCAGGCTCCGAGCTGTCAGCACAGAGCCCGACGCGGGGCTCACGAAGTTTCAGATGATTTTATAGATTTCACGGGGGACTTTCTAGCATTAGAGGAGGAGGTGAGGGCTCCCGCTCTGCTACCTCGTCGCTCAGTAGAGTCGTCTTAGTAGATGAACTCCCTGGGAAGCATTTTCTTTCTCTTCAGTCACCCCAGTCTCCTTTCAGGGAAATTCACTTTGCCTGACTCCCCTGCACGCATCACAGTGTCAGCTCCTTCCTAACATCAGCTGATGACTTTCAAACGTCAGTTGCCAGCCTCTGCTGCCATCTGGGCTTCTAGACTTCTATGTCACACCCACATCCCTGAGGAGGGAGCATGAGGCAAGCTGAGGGCAAAATACGGGCTGGCACTCGTCCCCCGCCAGGTAGAGGGTGGAGTAGGTGATATTCCTCAAACACTCCCAGCTACCGAAGACCAAAGGAAAGGGGCTCAAGTGCTTGCCATGGTGATGTGGGAAACTAAGGCAAATGAAAAACGAAATTCCCTTACTGCCTACAGCCCATTGACAAGTCCTTGAAACCGGCAGAGTGACCTCCCTCTAGAAGCTCAGCTGTCTCCATGATGACACTTTGCTGGGGGCAAAAGAGAATGTGAGTTTAACATTCAACCTCAGTCAAGGATCCTGTTAAGTCTACTTCCTTTATCTCAACCGCCCCAGGATATATGTTGGCAATCCTACTCCAAGCTTAAGGCCCCCAATATACATCTGAAGGGTCTCAGGACTCAGGTTTTATTAAATGATAATAAATGGCGTTTCCCGAGCAACAGCTAGCCCCTCAAGGCCCTGGAAACCTTGCTTCCGAAATTCCTTAGACTTACTCTATCCCTGACCCCCTCCCAGCCAGTGCAGCTCTTCCTGCTCACGGGTCCTGTCCCTGTGCTTTAATAAAATCACCTATTTGCACCAAAGACATCTTCAGGAGTTCCTTGTTGGCCGTCGGCTCCGGACCCCATGAACCCCATCACCCCCAAACTTCATCATCCCCACAGGCCCCGCAAATGCAACGTCTCCAAACTACCCATTCTTTCCACAGCTCTGCTCCTCTGTCTGTGACTCTGTTTCAGGCAAGACGCTGCCCTGTGCCAGAAGCCTGTGCATCACCTGATCTCTCTCCCCGTTCCCCGTGTCTCACATCCAGCGGCGACCAGACCACGTCAGTTCTGCCTTGTCAACCCTGCCGGTCCTCCGCCTTCCCCACGGCCACAGCAGAGGCCAGCTACTCCTAAGACCTGCCCTCCAGAGGAGCGCAAATGCCGAGAGCATTCAATGGGCACAAGTGGTTTTATTATTTCCATCTGGAGAGGGAGCCCCAGGCAGGAGCGGGACTGCACAGCCCAGCGAACTACATGCATGCCCGCAGCATGGACGCCAGTGGCTCGGTCCAGGACTGCGAGAGCCATCCGGCAGTGTGGGCTGGACTGGGGAGGAGGTACGATCTTGCCTGTCGAGGCCGCCGGCTTGAGAAGCAGGGCCGGCCTCACCGATGCCGCTTTCGGATGCTCTGCAGCTCCTGGTAGATGGCGCTGAAGCTGGGCCGCTGCCCGGGCTCGTAGGCCCAGCACTGCTCCATGAGCCTGAACACAGCGTCGGGGCACAGCTCGGGGCAGGGCAGGCGGCCACCTGGGGGACAGGCACAGCACACGGGGTGCGAGGAACAGGCGTGAGGACCCCAGCAGCCCCCGGGGACACACCTTGAGCAATGGGAGTGGCCTAAGACGCACGGTTCTCGAGGCACCTGGGAGGCTCAGTTGGCTCGGATCATGATCTCACGATTCGTGAGTTCGAGCCCCGCATGGGGCTCACTGCTGTGAGCGCAGAACCCAGTTCTGATCCTCTGTCCCCCTCTCTCGCTGTCCCTCCCCCACTCATGCTCTCTCTCTCAAAAATAAATTAAAAACATAAAAAAAAAAAAAAAAAGATGCACTGTTCTTGAGTTTCCACTCTTCAAAGGCTCCAAGGACAGAGGGTCTAACCTCAGTCCCACTGTGTGCCAGTTGTGTGACCTCTGTAAGCCAGTTTTCTTTTTTTTTCTTTTTACTTATTTATTTATTTTTTAAGTTTTATTCATTTATTTTGAGAGACAGACCGTGCGAGTGGGGAAGGGGGAGAGAGAGAGGGAGACAGTATCCCCAGCAGGCTCCACACTGTCAGTGCAGAGCCAACGCGGGGCTGGAACCCAAGAAACCATGACATCATGACCTGGGCCGAAACTGAGAGGTGCTTAACTGACTGAGCCACCCAGGCGCCCCCGCAAGCCTGTGTTTTTGTCTGTAAGAGGGACACATTAAGCCCTCCCGCCCATGTTATGAAGAGTAAATTAGACAGTGCTGGTCCCGCACACACGTGGCAGCCACAGGGTGATTCTCGCTCTGCCCCAGTGGGTGGCCCGGGGACCTGGAGGAACCCAGCCGCGGCCCGGAGAAGAGGGCGTGGCTCCGGAGCTGCCATCCCGCAGGGACTTCTTACCCTTTTCCACAAACTCGCGGGTCTGCTGATTGCTGAGGTTGGGGTAGGGGGAGGCGCCCAGGCTGAAGGTCTCCCACAGCAAGATGCCGAAGCTCCACACGTCGCTCTCAGAGGAGTAGCGGCCTGTGGGGAGGCGAGGCGTGGGTGGGCCGGCCACGTCTGCTCGCCAGAGTGAGGCCCCCTCCAGCCTGGCCCCCTGCCCCCGGCCGGAGGGAGTAAGGCCCAGATACCGTAGTTAAGAGCTTCGGGTGCCGTCCACTTCACCGGAACTTGTCTGAGGCCCCCTGAGGCCGCGTAGATCCCATCGGCTTCCTCCCGAGACATCCCGAAGTCACTGATCTTCAGGACGTTCTTCTCCGTCACCAGGCAGTTCCGAGCAGCTAGGTCCCTGGGCGAGGCAGGGCAGGGCCACTGAGCCGGGGCCCCGGCGGCACCTGCCCCCGTGCCCGGCCCCGCTCTAGGCACAGCCGTGAACCAAGCTGCTCCTCGCCCCGCGGCTCCTGCTCCAGGAGGACGAGCCGACTCCACGCCCGGGGCAGGGGCCTGCCGTGAGGGGAGCGGCAGGGTGACAGTGCGGCCTGGCCAGGCGGGGGTGGGGCGGGGGGGTATGGGCTTCCCCTCACCCACCTGCTGCCAGGGATGCAGTGTACTGTTTCAGGTACTCCATGCCCGCGGCCGCGTCGCCCACCATCTGCAGCAGCGTCTTCATCAGGCTGCTGGCTCCCCCTCCGCCCTCAGGGAAGCAGCTCAGGAAGCCTGGCTGGCAGGGGAAGCGTGGAGAGAGTTCTCCAGCTCTCCTTGCCGGCCCACCCTGTTTCCTCGCTCACCCTCTCCTGCACGAAAGCCCATGACGATGTAGATGGTTGCTTTCTGGTGCAGGCCGGGACATGAATGACGCAAGACCGATGTTGGGGTGGCTAAATGCTTCAGGATCCTGCAGGGCACTGTCGCCAGGTATTCTACTGGGCTGGCACGCCACTGCACTGCTGGAGCCCCGGCAGCCCCAGGGGAGACGGAGGGAGGGCGGAGAGTGGCAGTGGAGAGCTTTGGCCAGCTTGAGGCCAGCAGACTGGAGATGTGACCGGGTGGTCACACACCGTGTGTGTGTGTGGCGTGTCTCATCTGCTGGGGGGGAAGGCGGGAGGATAAACACTTCATCAAGTCCAAGTTTTCACCCCGCGTCATGACGAACCACTGGGCGCGTATGTGAATTATGGGATTCTTATCGCTCACCTACTTGCTTCCCGAAGAAACTTGCCTGATGTCAGGTGGAGGTTCAGCGACAAGATTTCACGGCCACCAGAGTGTTGGTCGGCCCTCAGGCGCCCGACACTGAACACTGGCCAAAGTTCTCCCCCTGAAACGGTCCGAAGTTCCTATCAGTCTTCTGGACCATCAGTCTTCCTCTCCTTCCTCACACTCCCAGGGACCTGTCCTCCACTGCCCCACCTGCGTCCTTGCACCCCTCGCTGTCCCCATGCTCACCCGCCAGTCGCCGCTTCTCTAGAGTTCTCCTCTGGGTGGGGAACCCAGATGGCACACAGGGGGACAGGCAGAAGGTTGGCTCTGGACTTTACACATTCACCTAGCAGTGACCCAGAAAAAAACCTAAAAAATTACCTTCCCCCCCTCACGCTTTGCTGGGAAAAAAACACTTGAGTTTTAAGAAAGTGATCTTTTTTCCTTACGTATTTACAGCCCCTGAACAAAGTATACCCCCCATGCACAAGAGCCTGAGCTAGAAGAGACAAGGGCCTGGGGGGTGGGGAGGTGCTGAGTGGGAGGGTTCTGGTGGAAAGGAACCCCCTCAACCCCCAGGAAGCCTGGTAGGTGGCTCTTTTCCTGTTTCCTGTGGGATGTGTGTATGGCTGGCCAGGAGTAATCAGGGGTCCAAGCTGGCAATCAGACGCAGGAAGACAGAAAGGTTCTCTGAGGCCAGGGTTTAGGGCTGACCTGCCCCAGAGAGGTCCAGGAGAAAGCTTAGCCATGCTAGAGAGGGAGACACCAGACAACAGGAAGCTGGTAGAACACTCAACTCACCCTCACCATCTGCACACACTCCAACACCAGGTCCTCATGGCTTTAGCACCCACTTGTCCTGGGGGAGGGAGGCTGGGGGGGGGCCAAGTCAGTGAGGGAATGCAGGCCCCTGCAAGGGACCGGACATCATCCCCTACCAACACAATGTCTTTTCATTTTTGGCACCTCAGTTTGTTGGTCTGAAAAATGGGGCTGGTGGTTAGGATCACACTCAGGATGACTCGAGATGAGGCGGGTGCCCCAAGACTAGGTGGTCAGCTGTGTGTGTGTCCCCCATGGAACTGAAGGGGCCTGAGATTCCAAGCCTGAGGGCGCTGGCCCCCCTGGCGAAGCGCGGAATCACTGGCACCGTCTGTCTGCAGATTAGACCCCTGGAGCCCTCGTGTTTCTGACGCTGGTGGCACTGGCTCACCTTGGCACACTTGCTGGAGGACAATCCCTCTTTCTTGGTGAGGTTGGAGCGCAGGAGGTGGTCGGACGAAAGGATGCCAAAGCCGCCTCCTTCCATAGTCGCAGGTAGAGGTTCTGTAAGGTGGGGGGGAGGGGGCGCAGTGGTCAACAGCCCCACTCCTGCTGAGGGGCCTGGAGCCCTGGGAGAAGAGGGAGGAGGCAGGGGGCCGCCAGAAAAAGGTTAAGCCTTCTGATGTTGGCCAGCCCACAGGCCCTCACAGCCCTCCAGAGGATTTATGTATCTGGCTTCTCAGAGGGACTGGGTGCGGCTCATGGGGGGGAGGGGGGGCTATGAGGTGGGTATGGGAGGCAGGGGAAGGCTGGAGTCCAGGCCCCACTCACTGCCACAATGACTGGATGAGTGAGAAGGGCATGGGCTGGTCACACAGCACCAACAACACATATTCCCTGCTTGCCCACTTAATTTCAGAAAGTCCCCCAGAGTGTGTCAACAGTCAGCCCACCCCGTCTGCGGGAGGGCTCGTGGTACCACAGCTGCTCGTGCAGGCTTCTGCACCTCTGGTACAAGCTGCAGGTGAGCCAGCAGGGGAGAACGAGAAGCGTCACTCGGTGAGATTATTGTCGGGAGGCCCGCCAGGACAGACGGTATCAGCCTGGGGTTGGGGGGTCTCTCTCTCGTGATATGCCCTCATCTCATGAACCACCATATGGGTATTAGAGCCCCAAGTAAATGACTTTTGGAGGTAGCCGGGAGGGGTTCAATTAATGCCTGGCTGACTTCTCGGGCAAAGAGAAGCTAAGCTCTCCACAGGCCCCAGTTGCTCAACTTCCAGTGCAGGGGAGAGTCGTGGAGGGGGGCGTGGGGGGGGGGAGAGAGACAAGGCTGGAAGCACAGGGGGGTGGAGGGAGAAGGCTGAGGTGCAGGCCGGCAAGATCTGGGGGGACTATGTAGCCCAGATTCTCTGGGAAGACATAGGACTCTGAGCAAGCAGCTCGCTCTGGGCTGTGGTGGCTCGCCTGGCTTTGCTGAGCATCCCATTCTACCAGGGTCATGATCTCGCCATTTGTGGGGTCTGCTGACCTGCCCGGCCCGGAGCTGCTTCCGCATTCTGTAGCCTGTCTCCCTCTCTCTCTGTCCCTCTCCTCATCATTTTCTTTTCAAAAAAACAACAATAACGTTAAAAAAAAAAAAAAAAAAAAAAGCAGCCTCCCAGAGCCTCCCGTTCAGGGCAACCCAGCGACCTCCCAAACACCCCAGGAAGAGGCTTATAGGGAAAGTACATGCCTGAGACCTGGCCTCCGCCTGCCCAGCACCACCCCTCGCGGGAGACTGGCAGGCTCCACTCGTGAGAACTGAAGTGAAGATTCTGAGATGTGGCTCTTAATCATGGTGTCCTTCCCTCTCCTTTCAAGCCTCCTCCTGCTCCTGGGGCTGGGACAGACGTGCGGTCACATGGTGGTCAGGAGGGGGAGGGCAAACATGAGGAGCGCGCCCCGGGCGGGCAGGCGTGGCTGGCGGCGGCGGATGGCGGCGGGCGGCTCACCGAGGACGACGTGGAGTGGCGGTCATCCTGCAGGAGCAGGACGGGCGGGGGCTCGCCAGGGCCCAGCTGCTCCAGCTTGGCCTGCAGCAGCTCCCGCTGGGCCTGCAGCTTGGCCTGGCTGCACAACGCCACCTGCAGCGCCTGCAGCGCCTCTTGCAACACCTGCTTCTTGGCCAGCAGCTGCACCCTGTGGGCGGGGCCAGGTGGGAGGCGGGAGAGAGGGGGCGGGGCTCAGCCTCTAGCCCAAGGACAGCGGGGTGGAGGCGGGGGTGGGGAGGCTGCGTGGGCGAACCCACTCACCGCTCCCGGGGGTGGGTGTTCTGCTCCTCGTTCTGGAGCTCGCGCTGCAGCTGAGCGACCGCTTCCTGCCGGCTGAGCACCGTCTGGGTGGCCACGGTCAGCTCATCCGTCACCGAGGTCAGCCTGTGCCCGGAGGAAGGGCCGTGTGAGAGCCGTGCCCCGTGCCCCACGAAGGCATCCCCGCAGAGCCAAGCAAGGCTGGCTGCGGCTCCGCAGAGACGGCGTCCGCCCCTGGCCACCCCGGCCAGCCCAGCCCGGTGCCGGGCCACCACGCACGTGTGCTGCACGCTCTCCACGGTCAGCTCGTTCAGCTGCAGCTCCCCGGGCTCCAGCGGTTCTCCCTCCTCGAGAAGTGACTCATCAAAGGTGACGCAGGGTGGGACGTCAGGTGTGGACCTTCAGGGGGACAGTGCCCCGTCAGTGAACGGGCCAGCGGCCCTGGTGCCCGGCGGAAGGAAGGAGGGGCTTACCCATACTGTCGCAGGAAGCCTTGGTACTCGGCCTCGGGCTGGATGCGGGCGACAGCTGCAGCCATCTCCAGGTGAATGGTCACCACCTCGTCCTGCACCAGGCTGCTGATCTCCAGGTACTCCTGCAGGATTTCCTTCCTGTCCCCAAACAGGAGCGCTGGTCAGTGAGGCCTCAGGCTGGGTGAGGCCGGAAAGCTCACCTGCCACACTGGGTTTAGAGTAGTCAGCCCTGGGGTTGACCCCTCCCTCCATCGTTTACCAGCCAAATGACCACACACAAATTACTCAACGTCTCTCTTATCTTCGCCTCCCGATGTGGACACTGGGGACGCTGGGCGTTGTGACCCAACGAGAGCACGTGTGCACAGAGGGCGGTATACCGAAGCGCTCAGTGAATGCGAGCACAATCATGTCTGTCCTGGGCAGCCAGCCCAACAGCTGCGGCTCTGGGGCTCCGGCACATGCACAGGCCGTTGACGTGCCGCTGACCCGACATCTCCGTGTCTAGTTCCAGGACCTCCCCAGGGCTCTAGCCGCACGCAGCCATCCACCTGCTCGAACGTCTCGTTCGACATCTCTTAGACACCCAAACTCCGTGAGTTGAAACACGAACTCCTATTCTTATCTCCTGAACCCGTTTCTCCCCTCCCTGTCCACGTAAGGTGGCGGAAACTCCATCTTCCAAGAGTCATCCTGCAGTCACCCTCGACTCACACCTCACTTCCAGTCCACCTTCAGGGTGCACCCGGGAACTTAGGGCTTCTCCCTTCCATCACTACTGCCCTGGCCCAGCGGCCACAGTCCGTGGTCTGCATGACCACAGCAGCCTCCGTCTCATCGCCCTGGCCCTGTTCAGGCGCCCCAAAGCCTATCCTTAAGACAGCAGAGCCAAAGTGCTCAAAACGGTCTGCTGGACCCCGTGTCACCCAGTAGCCTCCCAACCCCTGGACCCATCCGGGCTGGTGTCCGGCTCTGCCCTCCCCTCACTCTGCCTAGGATGCGCTGGCTTCCTTGCTGTTCCTGGATTCCAGGAACTCTCCCACCTCAGGGCCTATGCACCTGCTCTTCCCTCTTTCTGGAATGGTCTTCCTCCAAACATCCCCCTGGTTCACTCCAGTACCGGAGGCTTTTCCAAAGCACTCTATTGAAAGCTGTCCGTCCTCCCAGCCCCCCAAGTTCCTCTCCTTGTTTTATTTTTCTCCATAGCACTTATTGCCTCCACACACTATCCATTGTAGTGACTTTCTTTTCTCTCTCCAGTAACATGAATGATCCCAGAGGACAGACGTTTTTGGTCTCTGTTGGTCTCTGCTGTACCCCAGAGCCCAGAGCAGGGCTCCATAAATTTAACCAAACCTTGCAATAAGGGATCCTGGAATAACGGCATCCGGATACGAGCTGACGGGCTCCAAACCTCAGCCCAGGGCCCACTCTCCCGTGGTGACGCGGCCACTGTCACCGGACGCGTTTCTGGACCCTGCCTCCGGGCCTGGCGGCAGGGCTTTCGGGCTGTGAAGGGGGCGGGCGGGCTGGGGTGTGGGCTTACAGGATGCATGCCATCTCCTGGTGCAGGTCCTGTAGCGACTGAAGCAGGCCGGGGAGCATGAGCTGGTGGTGGTGGTGGTGGTGCAGCTGCGCGGCCCGCACGCCCAGCACGTAGCGGTTGTGGTGAGCAAAGAGCTTCCACAGGCTGCGCACGTACTTGTCCTTGGCCTTGTCGCGGTCTTTGTCTGCCGGGTGAGGAGAGGGATTGTGGGTGACGGCCCAGAGGCCTGGGGACTCCCCACTCCCTGGGCACCTGTGGATAGGTCATGGCTGGCTCGGGGATCCCTCTCTTCCGGGAAGGGAAGCCGCGCACCTTTGCTGGCCTCCTGGTACTTGCGCCGGGCCTGGGCGCTGTCCCGTGCCAGGGCTCGGTACTGGCTCTTCAGCTTCTCGATGTCCTGGTTGTGGGTCTGGGGAGAGAGGAGAGGCCAGTGTGGGGTGGCAGGTCCCCAGGGCACAGGAGATTCCTGCTGGAGGTGAAGCCCCGTACGGGCCCTGCAGTCTAGGCAGGAAGCACATCCAAGTCCTTCCTCTGGGAGGGGCCGGGAAGCTTCTGGAGCCCAGCCTCTGCCGCTGACATTAGGATGAGAGCACCTGGGTTAAGGACAGGCCCCTAGGGGAGGCAGAGAGGTGGGCCTGGCAGATTCCACCTGTCCCTCCTTGACCTAGAGGGGTGTCTGGGGGCAGGCAGGACCCGGCTGTGGGCACGTGTGGCCTGAGGAGTCACGGCACAGAACTCCACCCTCAGAAGGGCCCTGTGCTGGGTCTGATGCTCTGTTGATGCTATCTCGAAATTCTTACTAATTTTTCCACAAGAAGCCCCGCGTTTCATTTTCATTTTGCACCGAGTCCAATAAATCACGTTCCTGGTGGCAGGAACAACGGATGGCCAAGACCAAAGTTCTTATCCCCAGCTCCCCTATGTACGCACTGGGATCCTCTGGGTAAGTTCTATCCCTTTCCTCTAAACCTTAGTTTCCCCGCCTGTAACAGCTTAAGGTCAAGACCAGATGAACCTTTTTCTTTAAGCAGTCTCTGTTGAAATCACTCAGCTCTGCCACTAGAGCCCTGTAACAGCCATAGGTAATGTGAAAACAAACAATCGGGCACGGCTGTGTTCCAGTAAAAGTACCTACGCAAATGTGCCGACTACTGAATTCAGTGTGCTTCTGGGGAGACGGTAGGTGGACACTGGCCACCAGGGGCCGCTGTGGGTCCACGGTAAGGCTGGGTTTGGCGCAGGTGGAAGGGGTGTGGCACCGCAGTGCTGACCAGCACACTGAATCAGGAGGCTGAAGCACCCACACAAATAGCTGCAATCACACAGCCTCCAGACCAGGAGCCTCCAGACCAGGGTTCAAATGCTGACAGGCCGACTCTGCGGCCCTGGTCTTTAACCGCTGTGTCAGGGGGCCACCCTGCTCCCTGTGGTGTCTCTGGTGCCTTGGGAGGAGCCCACCTAGGCCAAGGGCAGACAGTTTAGCCCTGATTCCCCTTGCTGTCTCTCAGACCCCAGAGCCAGCCGGCGCAGGGCAAGAGGTGGGTCACAGATCCCGTGTGCCTGGGAGGTGGTGGCTGGACGGCCCACCCTTACTCCCGGCCCTTTGCTCGGGCATGTGGTCAGGTAACAGAAAATGCACAGAGAGGCCTTGCTGCAGGCCAGCCCAAATGCAGGGAGGAGGGACGGAAGCTGGGGTAGGCCTGTGGTCAGGGACTTCCACTTCCCCAGTGAATCCAGGGCGTCCTGTGTGCAAAACCGGCCCTTGTGGCCTCAAACTCTGGGCGGTGCACACTCAGGGCCACGCACGCACCTTGGTGAGCTCCTGCTGGAGCTGCTGCCACTGCTCGCTGTAGGTCTTGCGCAGCTGCTGCCGCTCCCGGATCAGCAGGCCCAGCTTACTCAGGGGCCCCGAGTTCAGATCCTCCGCGTGCTGCCTCAGCAGCCGGCTCAGGCCCTCCGTCTGGCTGGTGATCTCGGCCCAGGACTAGGACACGGGATGGGCGAGACAGGGAGCAAGGGGACAATGGCTCCCAAGCCTGGGCCTGCCCGATTCTCCAACCCTCCCCAGTGGGCTCGGGGAAAGGAAGGTGGCAGGCAGACATAAGGGACACCCGTGGGGATTTCTCCGTCGAAGGCAGGAAGGGGGTGAGGAGAACTAGGGTCCCACGGAACCCCACCTGGCTGATGGGGCTATAGGGGCCCGTGCCCCGGCCTCCGCCGTCCTGCAGCGACATGTGGTGCAGCAGCCCTGCATATTCCCTGTCACTCTTGACCCGCTGGGCCATCCACTTTCTCATGCCCTCCAGCAACCGCAGCTCAGCCTCCTGCATCTGCTGTACTGCCCCATGGCCTTGGGGGCTGCACAGCTCGGAAGAGAAGCCCATAGTGCCGTCCTGGGGACAGAGAGAGGAGAGGGCCCACCACGGGGTAAGGCAGCCGCTGGAGATGGAGGGGTGGGGCGGAGGGGCTGGGGGCCGCTGGGGGAAGAGGAGCTGCAGACACACAGGAGGTGGGGTGCTCTCCGGCTGAAATGCAGCCATAGGTACAAAATGGCAACTTGGCCTGAGACTGCCCTCATTTCCCAAAGTCTCCTCCTCTCGGGCCGAGGCTAGGGGTCCTCCTCCCAGGCCCTTTCACCCGGCGCCTTCCCAGGGCTCGGTACGGGGGAGGGGGCACTGGTGGGGTGGGGTGAGAGCCCAGGCAGCCACGGTCTGAGCCCTGCCGAGGCCCCCTGCCCTCCGCCAGGGTCCTTCCACCTGGTCCGGCGGTCCCCGTCCTGAACCTGGCTGGCCCTCCCACCCCACCACCGCGCCCACAAGGGTCGGCACTCCGCCCAACATCTCCCCCGAGCCCAGGGGGGCGGGGTGAGTTACTGCGCGGGCGGCTGCTCCGGGGCCGCCGCTGGAGGACGCCTTCAGGGGGAGGCTCATTCCGGGCCCGGCATTCTGGGCCAGTTCCTGATCTGGCTTCCTCCTGCCGGTCGGCTTTGCCGGGGCGGGCTCAGCAGAGGGAAGGCGGGCGGGAGGGCCGGCGCTGACGCCTGCCGGCCCCCTGCCCAGCGCGCGCCACTGCGGTCATGGGAACAGAAGGCATGGGGAGGAGGGGCCGGAAGAATGGCCGCGGAGAGCCTCCTGCCGGCGCCCCTTGGGGCCTGGGCAGCGCCCGGAGCCCCGGGGAAGGCCGGTGCGCGGTGGGGGCCTGGCGCGCGGCTAGGGCGGCCCAGAGGGGAAGCGGGGGAGGCCCGCCGGGCCTCCACCCCATCGGATTCCCCAAGGAGAGGTTCAGGCGCTGCCCATTCTGGAATAAAATTTCCCAAGTAAATATCCCCGAGGAGAGGCCTCCTCGGTGCACAGGTCCTGGTGAGTCCACTCCCCAGCCCAGAGGGGGGGGGGGTAGGTCTGTCTGAGAACCTGGCGGGGGTGGGGGCGGTAGGGAGGTTGCCAGGGGTTTTCCACTGAGCTGAGAGTGATGGCATGGGAGCTCTGAGACTGACAGGGCCAGCAGAAGCACCATCTGTCTAGCTGTGGCCCCACCGAGACCTCCCGCCCCAGCAGCGCGAGAACCTGAGCAAGGGGGGGCCACACATGGAATTTTCAATCCTCCTCCCTGTTGAGACCAGAAAGAAGACCTCCCCTAGGGCTGGAAGGGCTGGCTTGTCTTCCCCTTAGGGCTCACTCCCCTCCCATGCCCTGGGCTATCTCCAGCTGCTGCCTCCTTCCACAGCCTCCACTGCTGCCCAAAAAGGCCCTAGAGCTAGGGACTGTGGGACATCTAACTGGCTCTCCCAGTCCCTCATCCCAGATGCAGTCTCAGGATCCTAGGAAGAACAACATCACCACGCCGGAGACCGGGCCTGGTTTGCATAGTCTGCACGTTTAATCACTTTAAACCTCATTATTCGCAGTTCATTAAATAGAACCAACAACGCTGGGCCTGTTTAAAATTACAAGAAAATCACTCTGGGCACCAACCCAGTATCTTGCTACAAAATCACAGGCTGGCTACAAGGGTGGGGGGATGAGAGATTTGAGGGGACACCCCCAGCAGGTGTGGTAAAAAGCAGGAAAGGCTGGGGGAGAAAGAAAAGGGGGGCTCCCAGGAGCTGAGGGACTGATTGTCCTAATGGGAGGGGCAAGGCAAAAAGGCACGGGCCAGGGGGGACGGCAGGGGGCAGAACAGGTCAGCGCTTTCTCCACAAGGGCACAGTGTTGGAGGGGGCTCAGTGCCACCGCCTGCCCACCCCTGGCACTTGGAGAACCAGTGACCCATGAGCCCTTGGCACAATGAGCCCCACCTGAAACACGGATGACAGCCTGCTCCTCCCACCATGACCCCCTTTCCTAGGGCCCACCTGGCTTGTCCACCTGCCTCTTCAGAACTTGGGGGCTTGACTACTCCTCACTCCTCAGCAACATGCTGCAGCCCCCCACACCTTGGGGCCAGGGTAGCCGGGGGAACAGCAGAGTGGACAGTGGGTGTGGGAAGGTGGGTGGTCCAGCTGCTACCCCCGTTAAAAATACAAAAAAAAAAAAAAAAAATCAGCATCTAAAGTGAAATAATCACAAAGTGAAAATATATCCTCAAACAGCCCCTGAGATCCCCACAGGGGAAAGCAGCATTGGGTGGGAGGCGGGAGAGGCCGGCTGGGCCACCGTCCCCCCACCACCACCCACCCAGGGGCTCCGGGACTGTGAGTGCCAACAGCCCAGGCAGCCCCCCGGGCTCAGAAAACAGGGACTTGGGCCCTGGCGGGAGGGGAGGGGGCCCCGAGAAGGTAGGGTGGTCAGGATGCTGGCTCGGGGGCCTGGTCGGGCCAGCCACGCTCGGTGGGCAGCCAGCTGTGGTGGAGGTGGGTACAGGGACACAACCTCTCGTGCACGCATGCTCGCCCTGGAAGCACCTGCCTTCCTTGGTCCCTTCCTTTGATCACCGCTTCCTCAAGAGGCTCACCAGACGTGGGGGACAGGGTCGGGGATACAAAAGCCCTTGGAGAGGTGGCCTTCTCCTTCAAATACCCCCTAGGCCAGCCTCCCTGCTGCCTGGATGGGGACCATTATTGCTTTAGAGGAACAGGGAAGGGATGAGAGCTGCAGCCCGGGTCAGGAAGCCCGAACGGGCTGACCCGCTTCGCTCCGCAGGGACTCCGACTGGGGCCTGGACCTTGGAAAGCTGCCCTAAACGTTCCACTCTTCCTCCGCACGGAAGAGGTGCTGGAGGTGGGGTGAGGCCCTCCCCTGCCTCCCAGCTGGTCCTGGGGCCCCACCTCAGGCAGCCAGGTGGCCCGAAGGTAGGGCGGGAAGCAGTCTCTGCCCCTCCTGCCTCCCAGCTGGGGTCCAAACCCAGTCCCACGATAAAAAAATACTTTGGTGAATTAAAAAGTGCCCAAGGAGGGGATGGGCTTGAAGGGGCAGGCAGTGGGCGCTCGTCAAAGGGCGCTCTGGTCTTTGATAAAGGCGGTCCTCTCGCCCCGACCCTCGTCCTCTTCCGAGTCCGACGGGCCCTCTTCCTGCCAGGCTTCGGGGGGCAGCCCCTTGTAGGAGATGAGGCCACGGTCCATGGTGTACACCTTCACCCCCCGGAAGCTGAAGCCCGAGCGCAGCTGCAGGACCAGGAAGACGGTGACGAAGACCAGCACGATGAAGGCGCAGCTGAGGCCGGCCACCACCTCGGGCAGGTGTGAGGGCAGCAGCTCTGCCCTGGCTAGGGGCTCGGCCTCCACCTCCGGGGGTGGCCGGGGCGGCTGCTGCTCCGGTGACTCGCGGCTGCTCTGGCTCTGCCGGGAGCAGGTCTGCTCCACGGGGTCCAGGGAGGCGTGGCTGGGGCAGCTGAGGCAGTCCGTGGGGGCCAGCCCCTGGCAGGTGGCACACGAGGCGTGGCAGGGGGCACAGACGCTGGCCCGGATGATCTCCACGTCGTTCTCGGTGCTATAGTGTGTATCGAGGACTTGGGGGGTGAAGCCTGGCGGGCAGTGCTGGACACAGCTCTTCTGGTGCAGGGAGAAGCCTTCCTCACACACTGCCGGCAGGGGGCGGAAGGGGGGCGTCAGCTAAGCAGACACGGCTGCCCCGAGCAGTCACCGTGGGCCCCCGGGAGCTTCCAGCCCTGGAACCATACTCATACCCGGGTATCTCCAAACCCCCTTTCCTCCTAGCGCTGGGCTTCAGGACAGGTACCCTCTGCCCCCCCCAAGCCCCAGGCCCCCAAACCCCGACGGCATCCACTACTGACCCACACAGGCCTGGCTGGACGTGAGGGTCTTGCAGCCGCTGCTTTCGGGAGGTGCGTGCAGCCCCTCAGGGGCCGTGCCGTATAGCACGAGGGTGAACTTGGTCAGTGTCCCTAGTCCAGGGTTGGCGGGGAGGCAAGAGTTAGGGGGCACCAGCACGGCACCTGGAATCCCAGAGCCCACCAGCTCTCCTCCTCGCCCCCCTCCCCTGAGCCCTCCAATATCCCCAATACCGTAGTTGTTGGCTTCGCTAGTGTTTTCAATCTCCAGGACCCACTCGCCAGAGGGGTCCTCATCCCAGGAGTGGGTTGTCATGAAGGCCCAGTCATTAAACCCATCTGCGGAGTAGTCGTGTGGCCTGGGGGAGAAGGGTGCCCACGGCTGTCTCAGAGGCCCCGGGGAGACCCAGCCAGGGGGCGCCAAACTCACAACACATGGCCCGTACACGACACGCGGACCCCACGGGGCTGGAAATGCCTGTAGGGGCCGTAGGGGCTGTTTCTCAGTGGGCCAGATGCCCTCCACCAGAAGATTCTGGAAACGTGCAAGGGTGCTTGCTACAAGTGGGAAGGCACACTCCCGGCATGGAATGAGTAGAAGCCAGGGATTCCTGCAATGTGGGGACAGCCCCATAGGACAAAACCGGGCCTCCTAAAATGCCAACAGCGCCCCCACTGAGAACGTGGTGGCCACTAAGACTGTGTGACAAGTCAGGAAGGGTGTGAACGCGTGAAGGAACGCATGTGAGTGTGAGAGAAAGGACAAGCTGGGCAGGGGAGGGAGCAAGCACCTGGCAGCCAGCAGGGTGGAGCGGGTGCCCATGGGGCTGACCAGGTGGATGGCCAGGTCGCCGCGGCGATTGTAGGACAGGGTGAGGCGGGCCTGTGCGTGCTCCAGCCGCGTGATATGGCTAGGCTCCCCCAGGCAGGCGGTCACCATCTTCCGCACCTCCAGCCGCTTCCCGATGTCCCTGTGCAGAGAGCAGGGAGGGTCTGCACCCCCTGTGACCCCTGGGCCCCACCCACCCCTCCCAGCCAGGATCCAACCCTCACTTGGGTTCAGTGAGGATGTCGATGATGCACTTCCTCTGGGGGGCCACGGTCGTCCAGTTCTGGGCCAGGGTCACCATGGCACCTGCGTCCAGCAGCCCGTAGCCGT